AGTTTAAAAATGAATTTTTTAGTAAAACAAAAATTTATAAGAATGTGATATCAACTCAAGATTTATAGTAAGCCTTATATGAGTCAGGATACCTTTTTGTAACAATATTCTTTCGAACTAACCCATGCTTCAGTTAGGACTTTTAAGGGTTGTAACATGGACTGGTTCACAGTTTAAGAAACAAAGGATAAAGGCCCAAAGTTTATTTGTATCCGACCCGTTCGCCATGATGTTCTTCAGTCCTATACTCAATTAATTATGCATTTAGTTTCCAATAGAGTTTGGAATTATGAAACTAATATTTTGGTGATGGTTCCGAAATTGAGAGTTTATTTGGGAAGGAAATCATTTTTATTGTAACATCTTTCTTTTGTTGAGGATTTGTTGTGACCTCTTTTTGACTTTATTATCCCTAACTTTTGCCTGAACTGTTTCGTTTAAGAATACAGGCAGCGAGACACCCCTGTTTTTTCTTAAGTCTCCTTCATAGGTTTTTAATTAGTGGGCTTTTCTTTTGAAATATAATAACTTCCTGACTCAATGTTTATGGGGAACCATCATTAATTTTTGGTTTAGAAGAGTAGCTTTGACACTAGTCGTCGTGTATGAAGGTAAAGCTTGTGAATACATAATTTATTTGATTGAGAAACTACCCCGCCCCAGGTTATGTTCAAGGGTTTTAATTTAAGCGAAAAAGAAAACTCACACTTCTTAGGTTCAAAGGGCTTGACTAGTATTAACGTCCTTATATCTCCACTGTTTAGGAATTGAAGCAATGCCTGTACATCGCCAGCAAGGTCTGTTCAAAAGCATACTGTATGAGATTATGGTATCATCTTCACCATCCTCCCGCTAAAGGCTTATAACTTTAAGGAGAGTTGAATATGCAATGCATTAATGGTAAAAATCAAAGTTTGACATGACAATATTTGTTTGAACAAACAAAAGAAATTAAAAATAGAAATTCAAATGATCTTAAAGCTTCTCCGCCTGAACTTGCTACTTCAGATGGTGTACTTTGTAGTTTCGATATTTGAGGGATGATAGAAAAACTCAATCTAACCATCTTGTGTAAACTCGAAAACTCCTTCGTCAATAAGGTCCTGAATCTTACGTTTCAATGTCCAACAACTGTTAGTGTCATGTCCAGGACTGTTGGTGTGATATGCACACCTGGCATTAGGATCAAAACTGGGAGAGGAAGTATTTGGATTCCGAGGAGGTTATTTTAAGGTAATTAACTCCATCTTTAACATGTGTTGCAATGCTTGAGACAGTGACATGTTGATTTTGGTAAATTGTCTTTTAGGTGTATCTTGCTTACGTTGATTATCCTGTTGTTGTTGGCGAGGTCGTTGTTGAGCTTGCGATGTAGTAACAATCTGGAAAGGCCCTTTTCCATTAACTGAATGATTAACAAGTCGGTTTCCTATCTCATCGGAGGCTGGTTAGTGATTGGATCTCCAATTCTAGAAGTTAGTCCCATATGGTTGTATCTGACCCGATGAAGCTTGTTGATGAGGATTCTCAACTCTTCTTGCCCCCGAGCTAAATTTTGAATAAGAGCCATCTAACCAATCATCTGGGTTCTCATCTCTTCCATCTCAGCTTGTAGTTGTTCCAACTGGTCATCCTTGTTGTCTTCAGGATTCTTCTCGGTCATGTTCTCGACGAGGAGTGCTTTCAATCCTTCTTGCCCCTTGGCTAAGCTTAGGAACATCTCTTGGAACTGAGCATTCTGAGCCTGGAGATCTTCGACTGTTTGTTCGAGATCCATTTTTGCTGAAATAAACAGCATGAAGATGAGAAACCTATCTTGGAAACCTATTATGCAATGATATGTATGTCATGTAGATACATATGAAATGTTTTCAAGGACCTCGTGGGATTTACATTTGTAAAGAAGAAGGGAACAGAAACAAAGATTTTTGTTAGTAAATTCAAATTATAAATGCGTTTTAGGCTTACAATGACAACAAAAAGAGTTACAAGGAAACAAGATATGAACTCAAGTCTCCCATGGACACTTCCTCTTTGTGTTGACATATGCATTAAGGCTCTGCTCTTCGTGAAGTTGTTTTGTCAGCTCCAATAATTTCTTCTCGCTAGCATAGAACTGAGTCTCAAAGGTGTCCCTTTATTCTTTCATTTGAATCCAAGACTTCTGTAGCTCTTCAAGGTCAGTAGGCATGTCTAGATGAAGAATCATCAGGCTCCATAATTACTAGTAGTACATCAGGATATGGCATTATAAGATTTCGAGCACGAGATCGCACCCATCTGAGGTAAGGCTCCAAAGGGATTGCGTTTTTGTGTCCCAACGTCTTGCTACCGATCTTATTCACCATTCCCCAAGCACGTATAAATCTTTGAAAATAATCTTGAAGATAGTTCTCGTAATTGAATACAATACCCTTGATGAGCATATCACGATGACCGCATCTTCGAGCATAACCAAATTGACGTAGATCTAGAGAAGGTTTATAAGTAATGCTTGTCCTTATACCAAGGAGTGGCACATTAGGGAATTCCCTACAACGGTCAGTAATGGTTATATCCTCAAGAGATTGGGAACACCAATAGGTATCTGAATAAGAGAGTGACATCTGAAACAACCAGATGAACAATCAACTGATAATGAAATCAATGAAGTCGCCATCGAATGTTTTTTATCCCATGGGAGGGGAAAGGTAAACATCGAGTAAACCTGAGAAGGGTGAAATCACGGTCGAACGACCGAGAGATCGGGTAAGAGAGTTTGTTATGCGAGGGGAAGGTATTAGCACCCCACACAGCCGTAGTACTCTACGGTATCCACTCTTGTTGTTCTAATCAAAGGGTGTGTAAGGATCTATATCTAAGCTGTACATGGAATGCATGCAAAAGAAAGAGAAAATAATGTAGGGAAAATAAAAGTTGTGCTCGCTCTGGCCCTACCCCAATGCCTACGGATCCATTTTAAGGAATCAGAGCAGCCGTAGTTCGGCTCACATGTTTTTGTTGGTTTGTACTTTTTAATGAACAATATTAATTTCGCCTTTTGCCACAACTCGACCTTTTGAGACTCACAAGTCAGCACATAAGTGGATTAACATGTTCTTTCTGAAAAAGTTTGAAAGAAAAGCCTGAAGGCACAAGAGAGTTTGCATTGATTGGTATTTTTTACCTTAAAAAAGGATTTGAAAATTGTTATATGTTTTATGCATTTTCTAAGAAAAACAAAGTTTTTGTTTTAAATGTAAGGCTGCAAAGGAAAAGAAAACATCTAAGAGAGACTAACCTAAATTTATCCCTAATGTTATCATACAATGATTGATCCTAAGGTTGAGTTTTAAAGGGAAATATCTACCCTATGTTGACATGCTTGGATAACAATCCTAATGTCTATCTCAAATAATCATCTATAGATGAATCAAGAAGTCCCAAAGGATCATAGCAAGGGTCTATCACCTAAAACTATGTCTATCTCGAATCATCATCTATAGTTGAGTCGAGAGCTCCTAAGGGAGCATGCGGAGGCTATGTTATCTCAAAACAGACATACAAAGATAAAATCAAGCAAGCAAGCCAATAAGCTCAAGAGATCACACCTAGAGAGATCCTATCTAGGCTAGCATACCAAAGAAAGTCTAACAAAGCTATCCTATGGGGGAACATGCAATGAGAGCGAAGTCGTGATCTCAATTTCTAAATTGAGTGACTCATCGATCAACAAGAAATAAAGGAAAGCAATGAAATCCTATAGGGGGCATGCACTGAGAGCGAAGTCGTGATCTCAGTTTCTAAATTGAGTGACTCATCAATCAACAAGAAAGTAAACAAACACAAGCACAACACATATATAAAATGAAGTGCGGAATGCCTGCTACAGGTCTTTAAACAGTGACTTCATGCGCATGCTCTTTATTTCCTACTTCTCATGATATCTAAAAAAATAGTAAAGTGAAAAATGAGATAAACAAGAGAAAATACCAAACGAATATCAATCCGTAGCGAAGCCTATCAAAATAAAGAAACTCGACGATCTTCGCGAACAACTTCACCGATCAAAGAAAAGAGTCAGAAATCGAATGCTCAGAATAAGTATCGAAGCATCATCGATGTGAAAATAAATCACAATTGAAATCTCAAGTTCATCCACATATCGCACAATAAACCTGCGTAAGACTCAAATCTTAACAAGCAAAGGTGAATTACCAATCTCAAATATAATTGGATAATCGGGATTTAATTCCTAAAATCACATAAAAAAACTACCAAATTTTTATACTTTACTTTATTATTTTTATCATGTAAATGAAAAAAGTTCAAGCAAATCTAAACAATTCACAAAATTATTTAAAAGAAAATGCTAAAAGAATAAACTCAGGGGTGCAATTTGTAAGCAGGAGGTGCATTAGAAATCTAATACTAGGCCCAGTAATAATGGCCATAATGCTGTTTTTTTGTTTGGTGAAGCAAGGCGCCTGGGCTAAGGCTTCAATGGACCAATCTTAACTCTAAACATAAACCAACAAGTTGGGGTGATGACTCCTTTAGGGGGGGTTCGCTTCAGGAATTATTGGGCTAGGCATGCATCTTGGCCCAACGGGTTATCCAGGAGTTCAAGTTTGTATCAGCAAGAAAATGAAAGGAATGGATGCTAAGACCAAAATGATGTCGTATCAAGTTAGGGTTAGTGACCCTTGAGCTTCACGATGTCAAGCAGCGATTTCCGGTGACCATGCCGCTGCGAGCGCTGCTACTAAACCAACCCAAATCATCATTGTCCAACACGTGTGTACCCTAAGACAACATTCCGAATCCAGATTCGCCATCAATTTCTCCAAAAAAACCTTCATACGGCCGAATCAACGAAGAAGAACGAAAAACCCTAATCTTCAAAACAATGTACCTTCCTGCCAAGTATCACGATTCGAGTGCTATTATCGCTCGTGAACATCAAAAAGTGTCAGAATACTTCAAGATTAAGCAAGGAACAATCCTGATTGGAGCATTTGATGTTCCAGCGTGATGATTTCTCGTCTCCAGTTTCAGGCCTCATCGTGGTTTTATTTTCAGTTCTTAACTTTGACCTCAACTCTGTCAACAGATACGGATACACATATGTTCATAAAGATTGGCTAAAGGAAGAATACATTCTTACTCGTCGGAGTCGCTCCAACGGCACTTCAAGCGTGATTCTGGTATGCGTTCTTTATTCCCCGCCTCTATCTACTTCTGCTATAAATTCCTCTTCTGAATTGTTACAATTGTTGCAATTACATTGTGCAAGTTAAAGGAGAATCGTAGATGATGCCAGATGATTACTAATGATGCGTGTGTGGATGAAGATTTTTCAGAGATGAAGGTTCTACATGGTTGTCGAGAAGGTAAAGGTTGGTGGATGAAGATAAAGATGATGAAGAAAGAGTGGTTATGATGCAGAGAGAGTTTTTTTCTTCTGATTTTTGTGATTCTTCGGAAGTTTTTAGAATGAAGAGAGAGTGAAGATTGGTGAGGAGAAGAATCTAGATCCGAGACCTTTCCTGGTGAGTTTTTTTTCTGTTATGTAGTTCTGTTATGGTTAGGAAATAGTTAGGAAGTTAGAGGACAGTCAGGAAAGGTTAGTTAGAAATTGGTTAGAAAAGAGGTTAGGGGATTGTTAGAGTTAGTTGATTGAATGGTTAGCTATGGATTCTGTTATAAACTGAATGGTCAGGATTTATTTTTATTTTTGAGTTAGTTACAGGTTTTTGATAGAATTCTATTTTGACAATTGGTGAGGAATTAGAGGGAGTTAGGCACAGGTTTTCTGTTATGACAGTTATAGAGCTGAGAAATGCTGTTACACATACTGGAATTTCTAACTTCATTTTCTGATTTTTTTGCTATAGTATCTACTTTCACGGTTCCTCTCTTTATACCTTATGACTTTCTTCTTGAATAAATGCCGCTGCACTGATATATTTCCTCTTCTGATTTTTTTTGTTATGGGACAAATGCAGGGAGAATTACCCGTTAGCGATTGGTTTTTGACATAGTGAGCATAAAGATTGCAGAATTTCTTCTAGCTATTTTCAATCACTGTGCAATTATTATGAGAATGGTATATGAATGGTTGAAGCCTGTGGGTGTATACGTAAGTTGGGAGTTGCGTTCTTCCATCTCGAAGTTGTGAAGTAGGCTCTGGTACTTGCCATGGAGGTTCCTTCGTCAAAGCCTCCAATGTTGAAGCTATTAAAAGAAGCAATAGGGGAAGCACTTATTAGTTCCAGCCAAGTCGTGGAAGGGTTTTCTGTATTGGCAGACGATCTAGATGATCTTGGAGCACCCGAGTAGAACTCTGTATTTTGAAGAGGCTAATAATGTTTGCTCTAGACCTAAAGAAGACGACATGTGTCCTAATATCTTAATGCACATATAAATATTCTCAGCGGAGAATACACTTAATAGTTTTTTCATGCTTCTGAAAAATGCAGAAGATACAATACTGGATATATTGGATGTTTTAAATGAGCTTGCCGTTTTCTTAGCTCGGGCTGTAATTGACGATGTGCATGCCCCATTGAATTTGGATGAAACTAACAGTAGTCTACCACCAAACAACAGTGGTAGTGAAACTGTGCGTATGGCTCGAACACTTGTTTCAGCTTGCCCTGCAGGTGAAAGACTATTGAAATGTTTGAACACAAACTGACTTATGCTTACATTCATGCAGGTTTATGGCGTCGAACTGCAATGGCGAGTGTTGTACCCCAAAATTTGCCCTCCCATATTTCTCAAAACATTTCAAGAAAAATTCACAAGTCCAACCCGGCGCGTCATATTCAGGTGTTATTTCGCCAAGATATCTCTGATAACGTATTCTCAAATTCAGGTTCGGCTCAAGAGTCAATTCTTTAAAGAAGGTATCCGAATGTGTGAGTTTTCTCGAAGAAATATGGTGAAAAAAGTGTGCCGAAAGTGCAGTTTTTATGCGCTAAAAAATTCATAATTTGAAGATCGTGGCTCGTTTTGAACCCGTTCCGGTGGCCAAAATTACGTCTTGGCATTATCTACATTTTCATCTCTCACGGCTGGAAGCCAATTTCGATCAGAAGGTCTTCAAAAATGTGGATTTATCAAGTATTTTCATACAGAAAATTTGTGACAAGTTTATTTGCGTCATGTTCAGAAAATCATAACTTGGTCGATTTTCATCGTATCGAGCTGGTTCCGGCGCCAAAATTTCACAAATTGAGTTGGTTACATTTTCACAGAAGGTATTGAGTTCAAACGGTATTCAAAAGGCCTTCGTTTTTTGCTCAGAGCGCATGACATGCCGAAAATCCTGAATGCTGAATATTATTTCATCTGGGCCGAAACTTCGAAAATTCATAACTCGGTCAACTTTTATCGGATTGGGCTCATATTTTTACACAAGGTCACTGACTCATAGATCTACAACTTTGCTTCAAAAGTCAAGACCGGATTATGCTCCAATCAATACCAGTTTTTTATTGAAGAACGTGTCAGAGTCGACACTGGAGCCCAAAATAAGTTTGTCTGAGCTGAAAATTCAAAAATTCATAATTAATTCACCGTTTATCCGGTTGAGTCGATTTTCGGACAGGAGTTAGTTCTCGATATCAGTTACATTTTGTTTTCACATTTCAACTTCAAAAAATGCACTTAAGTCCATGCGATTTAGCCTGGAAAGTGACGAACTCAAGTGAACATTAGAGGCCCAATTGCACATTCAAAGCCCATTTTCTTTACCCTAATTTCCATTATATAATCACATTCTTTTCACACAAACCAAGGGAGAGAAAAAGGAGAGAAAAAAACCTTGCCACAATGCTTTCAGAATATCAAATTCTTTCAAGAATCCTAAAACCTTGAAATCCTTATTACAAATCCCTCTCTCACTACAAACAAGCCATCTCAGTTACAAACCAACACCTTACTACAAACAAGCCAACTCAGTTACAAACCAACATCTCACTACTTCTTCAGTAAGGGTAAGGCTGACTTGATCTCCATGATCCAAAGGGCATAAAAACATTCATGTCACTACTTTTCGTAAGGGTAAGGTTGATTTGATCTCCATGATCAAAAGAGTATAATCATTCATACATGCCATATTGTGCCTAAACATTAAATTTCTTCATATATTGGCTTAATTTGCATTTTATGATTTTATTTAATGTGTTCATGAGATTCAACACTGCAGATTTTAGACAGGATCCCATGCAGGTTCATTAAGGAACGTTGAGGCCAGAACACAAATGGCCAAAAGCCAAATGGCCAAAACAGAACAGCTTACACATGACACCAATACATGGCGAGGCAGACATCTTGAGAATGTTAAGGAACGTTGAGGCCAAAACACAAATGGCCAAAAGTCAAAACACAAATGGCCAAAACAGAACAATTTACACATGACGCCAATAACTGTTTCACCCCTCCAATCAGGCTCGTATACTCCTAAACTCTCTCTCTATTTGTATTATGTTCCTTTAATTAATTAATCGTTATTATTTTTATTAATCACTAACCAATTAACATTTTTTCCTAATAAAATAAAAAAAACACAAAAAAATATTTTATTTATTAAAATTAACTTCATCACTTTTATTTTTGTAAATAAATTAATTTAATCAATTTAGCTTTAATTAGATTTAACTTTTAATATTTTTTGCAATATTTAAAATCAATTTAGAATATTAGGTTTTTATTAGCATTAATTCAATTTATTTTATTTCTTTAAAAACTCAAAAATCCAAAAATATTTTAATTAATTAATTAGTTTATTAATTTAATTGGTAACTTAATTTAATTTCTTTTAATCCAAAAATAACCAAAAAAATCACTTTCTCTCAAAAAAGGGGTCAAAACCCCAAAAAAATCGCATCCGATTTAATTTCCCGCACGCGATCCATTTTTCCATATTATTGTACTTGCTTCCGGAATGTAATAACTTTAATTAGGACTTTATCTATTTATTGCTTTATTTTACTTTCCGCAATTTAAATTAAAGGGTTTGTTTTTGGCGATGTAAATACCCAACGCCTTGTAATAGCGTAGATTCACTTTCCGCAATTTATTTTCTGCAAATTATTAACTGTTAATTATACATGCAAGACTTGTATGAAAATTAAAAACAACTCGTAGATCACCATGATACATGATCAAAGATAAACATTAACTGAAAAACAACACACATGCACATGCCACTCCTAGGGTACGCCTCACTGGTTGCCTCGAACGTGGTCGTCAAGTATAGGGTGTCTTAGGGGTCGCCCTCCTGTCTAAAGATCCTGTTGCCTCGAAATGGTTTCCTCGGATAAAAAGGATCTAGGACATTAGAGTTACTTCTAAGGTGTCCTACTATTGCTTCGGTGACCACATTGTCCCTTACAATCGAATTGACCCGAATAACTCCAGCGACGGTGCTTCCTACCTCTCAATGGTGGGATAACACTGTCTAAAGGACTCTTACACAACTTAATTCCTTAGAGTAGGTAGATTTCTCCTGGGTACTTTCTCTTTCAAAATAAAAAACAACTTTTCGCACCTACACTTTCAAAAAGTTTTCAAACAAATACTTCATACACTCTTGAGGACTGATACAAGAGTTACCTAGAAGTTTTTCAAACTAAACTTTTTTTTAAAACCCACAAACACAAGAAAAGCAAACAATTTTTGAAAACATAGTGAGCAAGTACCTAAGAGCCCGTGGATAACCACGGATAGAAAGGGTGCTAACACCTTCTCTTTCTATAATCTACCTCCCGAACCCGAGAAACATCTCGAAAAGGAATTTTGTTGTGCTTTTGTCCTTTCCTTGTTGGAGAACATAAAAGACGGTGGCGACTCTTGCTTACCGCGACATTTCGCGAACCAACTTTAAAACAGTCAGTTCTATTTCCGCAGATCACAGAACTGGCGACTCTTCTGGGGATAATTAAAGTGAGGTGTACCTTAGGATTAGATCATACTTATGTTTTCAATTGTCTGTTTTGATTGCTTTAATATTGTGGGCCTGTTTTGGGAGTTCTATAGATCCTAACTCGGATCTGGGGGATACCTTTTAGGTAGCAACAAACTGTGAGGGAACTGTGTGGGGTATACCGACACGGTTGAAGCAGTTGCTACGTTGATGTGGCACTTTGGTGAGTACCGGTAACCCTTGAGTCAAGTCAAGGAGAGTACGGGGCCGCCGCGTGGTGTCGTGAAGCATCTACTGACCTTAGGAACCTTACTTGACCATCCTGGCCTCTTTAGGGTAGTGATATGACCGACTTTGGTGCAGTCCGAAGTTGGTAGATACTCGATACTACACTCATTGAGGGTTGTTTTCTTGGAATATTTTGATCGCCAGTCCAGTGGCTAAATCAAAACGATGAACACCAAAAACAACCCAATGATATTGAGATCCTTAGAACCCGGTTACTTTTGATAGGACAGGTTTTGAGCCCACCAACTTCAAGAGGGTAGTACCCCAAACTTCAGGCTGGCCTAAACTCTAAGGGCTCTCTGTGTGACTTGTGTGCCTTCTAACTTGAATTACTTGCACGTACTTGTTACCTAACACATGAGTTTCTTGCAGGGTTTGTTTACAGTCCTTAATCTGGGCTCATAACAGGGTTTACTTACATCACTCCACGCATAGCATAACATCATACCATCATACCATTGCATACATCCTACATAAGGACTAATCCATTTCAAGGATCTCAAGGGTTTGTGATGCAGGTCATGATGAATCAAATGTCTAGCAAGGGGCAAAGGGGATTTATTTTCCTCTAGCCAAGATTAATGATTTGAGTCAGGGGATATGACCCACTCGATATGGTGAGCCTTGACCCTTGAAGAAGGACTCTCAGCAACATGAAGTTCCTTCAATCAAGCTACCCAGATTTAAATTCTAACAATTTTCTTGTTTACCCCGCGAGATCCTTGAAAACATTGCATGCATACATACATATTATTGCATTACAGGTACTCCTTTGACAGGTCACTTACCTTCTTCGCTGTTATTTCAGCAATCATCATGAATCCTAAATCATCCAATGAACAAGCTATCAAGGCCCTACAGGCCCAGAATGCCCAATTCCAGGAGTTGGTTATGATCTTGGCCCAGGGTCAACAGGATTTGAAGACTCTGCTCTTGAAGAAGAAGAAGAAGAGGATTGTGCTGTTCAACCCTAGACGCAAATCTGGGAATGGATCACAAAATGAAGCTGAGCTGATTACCCCATCTATTGGGAAAGACAGTCCCCAAGAAAGAAGGGTTCCTAGTCCCGTGGTCTCCGACAACGAGACGGATTTCAATGATGAACAGTATCCTCCCGCCGAAGACAGGTACAAACAGCTCGAAGAACGATTAAGTGCTATGGAGATACAGAAAGTGCTCGGCCTGGACTTCGAAGATCTAGGTCTATCCTCTGGGGTGGTGATCCCTCACAAGTTCAAAGCACCTGCTTTTGCAAAGTACGACGGAGCCTCCTGTCCTAAGCTGCATCTCAGATCCTATGTAAGGAAGACCCAACCTTACACTGTTGACAAGAATCTATGGATCCATTTCTTCCAGGAAAGTCTTTCAGGGACTCAACTCGAATGGTTCTATCAACTAGATGGAGCCAGTATTCGTAATTGGGAGGACTTGGCTACTGCATTCTACAAGCAGTATCAGTACAATTCTGACCTCGCTCA